TTTGTATAATGTATTATATACTTATATTTATTATATATTTTTATTTAAGTATTATTATTTTTCACCCTGATAAGATCCAGAAATTGGATGTTTCTTCACATTATTTATATTTACATAGTATATATATTTCTATATTATATCTATTAGTATTTATTTATTCATATCTAAGTATTATTAAGGTATTTCTTTCCTTTCTGTGAAGTCTAATTTCTCTTGACCCTTTTCCGTCCAAGTTTCTCCTTCGTTTCTTTTCTTTCCTGTATTTAAAATTCTCTTTATTTACACATTTCCATCTTCTGTATTCTGGAGAGCGGCTGAAACCTAATCAGTTCATATCCACTCCAGGGGAAACAGAGAGGCTGTTTGTTTATTATGTTGTGACTTTGTCCCAAGGACGGCGAGCAGACAAAGATATTAAGAGATACTGGAACCACCGAAGAGTTCATCTAACCCCCTTTATTTATCTGAGACCCCCCTAAGGAGAGTCCTGGAACCAGGGCCCGGTTTGGGGGCTGAATGAGGGGGGAGATAAGGAGATAACGTCTCGTTTCATCCTCACCTTGAGCTTACGGACACATTTGATTAGGATTTTGATTCAAAACAGGCAGATTTCTCCAGAGGAATGAAACAGAGAAACCAGAAGAGGAGGAAGGAGTTCTGCAAAGGCTTCTGGACCAAAGGAAGAGACCCAAAACAGGAAAGAAAAAAAAGTCTCACGTTTCCCCTCTGTTCACTGAGCTTCACTGGTTACCCCCGCTTAAAAAAGAGCTTTAAAAGCCCAAAAAACAGTTTTAAAAGTTCCAAAACAGATTTAAATCCATAAAACAGCTTTCAAAGCCACATAAAACAACTTTAAAGCCCCACAAAACAGCTTTAAATCAGCAAAAAACTGTTTTAAAACTCCTCAAAACTGCTTTAAAAGCCCCAAAAAACAGCTTTTAAAATGTCCACTTGAATGCAAAAAATCCTGAAAACTTCCTCAAATAAAAGCATTCTTAACCCCAAAATTAGATCAATTCATGCGTGAAAGTGTGAATAACTTTAACATGTTTGTTATTTGTTTTTTTTACTTCCACTTTCTAATCGCTCCATGTAGTTTAAGACCTTTTTATAACTATTTTTAGCCTTTTCAGAGCTTTTCTCTACACATGACCTCACATTTAAACATCTTTAATCGTCTTTCTGCTGCTGTTTCTCCAACATCTTTGACATAATTCATGTTTTGGCACCCAGACCTCCCACAATTCACCTCCCAAATTAGAAAAAAAGCTAATTTAAAACCCCATTTTTACTTTTTGACATTTAATTATCTGTGTTGTTTCCTTGTGGCTCTGATTGCAATTTGGGTGTTTTTAATGAGCTTCTAATTGAATTGGAAATCGGTCCAAATCGGTTCAAAATGGCTGCAGTTGTTTCTGGGACACATAAAACACACAAATGACAAGATCCAGACGACAAATACCAATAACAACTGAATGAAAAGAGCGTAGAAAAGGAAAAGATGTCAAAATGTTTATGGTTTTGTCTTCTCTTTTGTTCCTTAAATGTCATAAAATGCCCCAAAGAAATGATATAAAATATTTTTTAAAGTATATTTAAAAAAATAAATAAATAATAAAAATTAAATTAAATTAAATTAAATTAAATTAAATTAAATTAAATTAAATTAAATTAAATTAAATTAAATTAAGATAAAATAAAATAAATATATTTAAAAAAGCTATTAAAATAAGTAATTGAAAAAGCTCTGTTATTATTTAAAAGGCATAAAAATAAACAATATACAAAATCAAAGTGAATAAATATTTGAATAAAAAGATAAATGCAAGTTGTATATATTCACTTAAAGACAATATTTGAAAAAAATCATGAGTTTTGGATGGAAAAAGCAGGAAAAATGTGAATTAATTCGTTCAGATTCTGTGAAGCTCAAATTGAGTCGCAGCAAAAGGAAATTAAAGTGATCATTGGTTAAAATTAATTAAGATTTTTCCCTGTGGGTCCAGAAGGGATGGAAGTAAAGGCTATTATCTCGTCTGGTGATCATCTCCATAAAGATAAAGGCTCCTGGAGCCGCTTTTAGTCAGTTTTCTCCATTAAATCAAAGCAGAATCACAGATTGGTGAGAAACTCTCAGGTTTTTTTGGTATAAAAGAAAAAAAAACAAGTCAAGGCCACTTTAAACGGAGAAAACTCGATGGGGAGATTTCTAAAGATTGCAAATAAATACTAATTAAAGTATTTCAGACTTTCCTTTCTGATAAAGCTGATGGTTACAGAAGCTCAGGGACCTGAAACACCACTTATTTCTGCTTTTTCTCTTGTTTTTTAGTGTCTAAACCTTTTTGAAACGATGTTCCAAAAGACTGAAATATACATTTTCTTCCATTTTTTATTGGTCCAACTGTCTTTTTGGACTTTTGGTAAGCTTTTACCTGAGAAACCGATGTTTTCGGAGGCTCAAAAATCGTCTTTTTGAAGAAAATCTGCTTCTGTTGGGACATTTTTTAAGTTTTATTAACGATATCATTAATTAACACCATGATTCTTCTTTATGTGGCAGCTAGTTCTCATTATTTCATCTCAAAGGTCGGCCTTTTTCTTTAATATGATTCATTTAATTCCAATCTAATTGATTTATGTATAAAGTATATTTCATACAGACAGAAAAAAAAAGCTGCTTTACATAGAAACACATTTAAAAGCAAATTAAAACACTTTTAGGACTTCTAGACATTTAAGTCAATGAGCTGTAACTGGAGTTAAAGACAACAAGAGCAATCAAAAAGCTGAAAACTTCACATCGGAGAGCCTCATGAATTAGTCAGTTATTCTGATAAGGAAACAAAAAAGATCAATAATAGATATATAGGGGGAAAAAATAAATACAAAAGCCAATTAAAAGGCTGGGTTTGAAAGGTATTGAGCCTTTTTTTTTTTAAGTCTCCTAAACTGAGAAAACTACAACTGGAAATCATGAATAATTCACAAAGTTTAATCTGTTTTAATCAAATCAGCCTCCATGGAATCCATTTTCTTGATATATTTTAATTTAGTCCTTTTCAGCCGTTTTTTCTGCCCTCCTGTTTAACTTTAACCTTTATTTGTTTAAACTTCTTGCTTTCTTTCTGTTTTTCTCCCATAAATCTGGTCTTAAATCAGACATCTGATTATTTATGTCCCTTTTTTATCCTGAGCCTCCATTTCGTTCTTTACATAATCTGAATAATGATCTAATGGAGTTCAGAGGACAGAGCTTTGGAGGCCGCCAGTGACCCTGGGACGCCATCCTGGGACGCCATCTTTAATCAGGAGGTCCTGAACGGAGCGGGAACCAGACTCTGAGCCTGTTAGCTACCCCCCCCCCCCCACACACACACACACAGGGGAGTGAGCCTTCTCCCGTAGAGGCTCAGAGTCAAACACACATCACTTTCTGAAATAGATCTGAGTGAGGACGGCTCGCCGGTCGCCATGGAAACAGGACGAGGACTTATCAGGTGAGTCGGTGGTTTGTGGTTTTTTAGCTGAATTAGCAGAACATGGGGAAAAGAACAGAAAAGAAACACCACAAAGAACCATAAAGGAAAAATAAAGAGAACTCAGATTACAGCAGAAACCCACAAAAAGATGGAAAATAAACCAAAAATACCAGACAAAAGATATAATTAATTTACAAAAATTTGTGAAATCGTAAAAAAAAAAGACGTCAATCAAACATAAAGAAACACAGACCAACCATTTTCATTTCATTAGCAGAAAAAGAAAACAATGACACAAAACAGAAAAAAAACAAAAAAACACAGAAGCACAAAGCAAAAAAAAGTGAAATTACATCAGAAACCCCCAAAATAGACAAAAGAGAAAAAATACCAAACAAAAGACATGATTAATTCTCTGTTAAAAAAAAAATGAATACAAATAAAAATATATTTAGAAAATTAAACGAAAATAGAAAAAAATAGAATATAAAATAAATGGGGATAAAAATAATAAATTAAAAAGAAATGTAAGAAAAATATAAACCTCCATTTAAATACAAATATTTAGGAAATTAAAGAAATGAGAAAAAATATTTAGGAAATTCAATGAATAAGAAAAATTATTTAGAAAATAAGATAAAAAGGAATAAAAATGTAAAAATGAAAAAACATAAAAATCCTCAAAATCACAGTTAGCATCGAAGCTAACAAGCAGCTACGAAAAGGAAATCACTGGTCAGACTTTATTAAAAAAAAAAAAGAATACAAATAAAAATATATTTAGAAATGAAAATAAATAAAAAATAAATTAGAAAATAAAATGAATATGAATAAAAATAATACATTTAAAAAAACAAAAAAATCCTCTTTCCCAGGACAGATGGGATATAAACTTCCATTCAAATAAAATTATTTAGAAAAAAGAAATAAGAAAAAATATTTAGAAAATTAAATCAATAAAAAAATGTTTAGTAAATAAGATAAATAGGAATAAAAATGTGAAAATTAAAAAACATATAAAAATCTTCAACATCACAGTTAGCATCAAAGCTAACAAACAGCTATGAGAAGGAAATCACCAGTCAGACTCCATAAAAAAAGATAAGAATAAAAAAAACAT